AGTCCGGCTACTCGGAAGGCTGAGGCGGAAGGATCGCTGGAGCCCAGCAGGTCGAGGCTGCGGTGGCCGGGAGTGGCCACTGCCCTCCAGTCTGGGTGACAGAGTGAGACTCCGACTCAAAAAAATAATAATAATAATAATAAATAACTTGAAATACACACACATTCATATACCCAGTCACCCCACTCAGTGTTATCTGTCCAGCCTCAGATGGAACCTAGTCTTGGGAAAATTCCAGATCTGAGAGACCCATCAGGTGCTAAACAGCCCGGGGGTTTTACTGGAAACAGCTGCTTCTGGCAGAAAGTTTAAGAAATGTGGCTTCCCCCAAACAGAAGACACCAGATCACTCAGACTTCACAAAAACCTTCCGCAATTTGGGGCTAGTCCCGGGGAACACTGGGACTCATTTCAATGTGGATACCGAGACCTATTTTCAGCCAGGTGCAGTGGCTCGCACCTGTAATCCCAGCACCTCACAAGGCTGAGGTGGGAGGATCGCCTGAGCCCAACAGGTCGAGGCTGAGGTGGCTGTGAGTGTACCACTGCACTCCAGCCTGGACAACAAAGTGACACTCCAACTCAAAAAATTAAAAATTTTTCTTCCAAGTAGCTGGAACTACAGGCGCGCACTACCATGCCTGGCAAATTTTTCATTTATTGTAGAGACAAGGTCTTACCGAGTTGTCCAGGCTGGTCTCAAACCCACAGGCTCAGGCAATCCTCTCACCACGGCCTCCCAAACTGCTGGGATTACAGGCTGAACCACCACCGAGACTGGCCTAAATTTTTTTTAAAAGTCATTCAACAAGCCGTCAGGGTTCATTTTGATGTTGTTGTTATGTGTTTTGCAATTCTGCGTGTGTGTCAGGATCCAAACAAGGTTCAGGGCTTGCTGTGTTTTATTTAAGTATTTATTTTTTGAGTTGGAGTCTCACTCTGTCACCCAGGCTGGAGTGCAATGGCACGCTCATGGCCACAGCAGCTTCGACCTCCTGGGATCAGGGGATCCTTCCGCCTCAGCCTCCCGAGTAGCTGGAACCACAAGTATGGGTTACCACACTTGGCTAATGTTTTGCTTGATTGTAGAGACAGGTCTTGCCAAGTTGCCCAGCCTGGCCTCGAACCCCTGGACTCTGGCAGTCCTCTCTCCTCCGCCTCCCAAAGTGCTGGGATGACATGTGTGAGCCACCGCGCCCAGCTCGCGGCGTGTTTCATTATAGGTTCCCCTGGCCTCTCTCTGTCCCTCTCCCTCAGTCTCTCTCCCTCCCCACCTCCTCCCCCTACCCTGAGTGGGCCCCGGAAGCAGACATGTCACACAATTAGGGAG